GCCGGCTGGACCGGTCCTCTCTGGACCGGTCTAACATATTCCTCTTAAGTTTTTCATTTCTAGAGGAGATTTAGGTAGATGAATAAGAAGAGTATTTGCTTCCCATGTATCCAACAACAGATGGGATGCTAATATTTGTGATTGTGTATAAAGAAAATTTTTAGCTCGATTAAAAGGAAGGGGGCTAGAAAGAGCTGTCTAAAAACCTTGCAATAAGACAAATTTATCATTCCATTCAAATTTCATAATAAGGTCTACATAATTGGTTAGTATATTCCCTAAAATTTCAAGCCATTGAACATCAAGCACAAAAATAACTTGGAATTTGTATTACATAACAATCAATATATAAATCATATCCTTGCATTGTGATGGGTAGCTTTGGACACCTACCCAAACACAACTAGGAATCACCATTTACAATCATTACTATAAAAGGCTTGGAAGGAAAACAATTATTAGTGAATCTTTAGCTAGGTCTTCTTGGATAACATTACAAGTAGAACTAGCTTTAACCAAGATTGGAACATTGCGATTGCTTATGCAACCTTGAACTGAAAAGAAAGAGGAGAATGCTACCTAGCCAAGGCATGGCCATTGATTTCTTGTCTAATTTTATCCTTGTTTTCATCATTATGAGTGACGTTATGTAGTTTCAACAGATTATATTGTTCATCGAGAGTCAAATAAAAGTTTTCGAGTTAATGAGCAATATATCTAGTTTTTCTTTGCAAACATGGTTTTGGAGAAACTTTTCTGTCAGAATTATAACGTAAATCTTTTTCACAATGATCCATCATTTCTTGTGCAGTTGTTTTCTTTACGGTTATAACAAATTTGAGTTTATAAATGGTTTTGAAGGTGTGGGTAACAAACTCAATAATGGATAGGAAAGCATGATAAAACTATTTTTTTTTGGTTCAATGAGGCTAACCTCCATTACTTTTGCCAAGTTTGTTGCTTGAACTAATGAGGTTAGTTCAAATGCTCTTAATTCACATCGAATATTGGGGAGTAATCCAAATGCAAAAGAATATTGCAAGGAAGAAAGTCCAAAAACATCAAAAGTACTCAAAGCAATGAGGGTAAATCACCTGTATATGTTGGCTGCAATAGTTTAAGAAGTTCATCTTGCAAATTCTGATATTGAGGACTGAAATGCCGAAGTTTTGTGTGAAGTCTTGCTGATAATATGATGGATGTTTCTTTTCTAACCAATGAATCCAATAGAGGCTTAGCCCTTACATAGTAAGAAGAAATAGAGATATATTGGTTTTTTCAAGAAAGTGAAGTACTGATTTTCCTTCTTGATCCAAATAGGAGGATGTACTCCATTGAATCAAGGAAGAGATAGTTTGATTGCCTTTAAATAATGCAACATTGGTGCTAGAAGTAGGTATAACAGAAGGAGCTAGGCCCGAAGAAGAAGAGTTTTTTGTTGTTGTCGTCAGATAAGTGTAGTGGATGATCTGCTCTAGGCAGCTTTCAATATTCTGCAGTTTCAAACAAATTTCCCTCCACTCACTTGTTGATTCTGCTAGCTGCTCCACAAATTTTTTATTCATGTGTGACAATCGTCTGTCAAATGAGTGGTAGCATGAGCGCTTTCCTTGATCAATTTTTTCAAGACGTTTTCGAGTTCTTTGGAGATGTCTAATGAAATCATTGGTGATGTTGCTACTGTTGTGGCTCACGGAATTATCAGTGGATGAACGATAGGTGGGCACTGATTATGATATGACTCCAGCCTTAGCAACTTAGACTTGCTGCTGCGAACGAACAAAGAAAATGAAAAACAAAAAAAATAGAGAAGAAAGCAGGGAAGCAAGAAAGGAAGAGAGAGAGTGTGGAGAGAAAACTCATTAGAGTCACCAATGCAACTATTTAAAGAATTCCAAAGTTTGTTATGAAATTAGTTCGAATCCTGGGATCCCATCTGATCCTCCTTGGTGCCTTATCGGACACTATGTGGCTGAGTGGAAAGTCGACAAGGTTTCGTTGGAAAGCCCATGCTTCCATTAAAGATTTTTACTAGTAGGATTATTGAATGGTTGTCCTTCCATGTGCTGAAGGGGAAGTTAGGGTACTTTGTATTGCATAGAATGGTTTAGGAGCTATGTCTAAGCATTTCATTTAGTTTTATATATGTTGAGAATTGAAGCTAGATGCAATTGAAAAGTTACATGGAATTTGAACATTGTAACATCTAGCCTTGATTTTAGATGATTATAATTTAGAAGCATGTGTACAAGCTCATAATTGATCGAGAGAGGCATTAGGAATTTGATTCTGGCACCCTATCTTTTGTTATGAATAAGATTGTCGATGCTTAAAAGCAAAATTCTGTGTAAAAATGTTTTAGTTTTGAAGTTTGAAATGCAAATAAAGCACATCCTTCAATTAATTGAAACACATACACATGCAACTTTACATTGCGTTATTCTATTTGACAGCCCTCTTATAAATCAAAATGATGAAATGATCTATGGTGTTTTAAGTCAAATATTAACAAGAAACATTATTACTAACTAGTAAATAATAAGGCACACCCCTAGTGTGATGAGCAACACATAATATTAACCCATCACTAAGACTGTTTTCTTCTTCACCTAGGAGGGAGTGGAGCACACTTGCGCTCTGCAAAGCAACTTCAAAGCTTTGTTACTTTTTGAGTGTCTTTGGTTTATAAGCCTTTTTCTTGAGAACAATGCACAACCACTACACTTTGCACTACACTTAAAACTAATGCATCTTTGTGCTTTTAACAGCAATATTGATGAACATGTTTGCTTCATGTTTCTGTTTATTTGGTGTAATTTATATGTTAAAGTGTCTTTTTATGGTTTAGTTTTGTTAGGTTTTTATTTGGAATCTCGTTATATTTGTTAGGGTTTTGCCTGTATCAGCTCTTGTTTTTAATGCTATTTGCTGGTGGTGTCTGGTTAAAAACGTAAAATTTTCACGGCAAGTTTCATTTTAACTTGTTACACTTGAACGATCATAATTCAACTTCAAATTAAACAATCGTGAATGTATATTTCTTGTTTAATGGTTAACAAAACCTTGATCATGTATCTATGTGAAAATTATGATAAGCAAAAAATTATTTTTCTGTACTATTGCTTGGCTTTCATCATATTAGTTATCCGGCTTCTTCTGTCTTTTTCAGTTTATTATGAGTAGAAAATATGTCAGGCATTCCAAATTGACCTTTATTTGCGATGACCTGTTTTGTTCATCTATTTGTGTTGCAGCTTGTGTTACTATTATGGAGTTATTTCATGGTAGTTTTCCATGATCCGGGTGCAGTGCCTGTTGGTTGGCAACCTGCTTTAAAAGGAACCTACTCGGCATTAGAAAATTCTGTGATTTTGGCAGATCACATTGCCATTGATGCCGGGGAATCAGATTTTTCATCTGCAGAGGGATCAGGAAGAAGGCCAAGCATACGTTACTGCAGTCATTGTCAAAACAACAAACCTCCACGCTGCCATCATTGTTCTGTTTGTAAGTGAGAGGTTTATTTGATAGGTGTAATTATTTTGAAGCTAGCATTGTTTCTCAGTTATTTAATCTGAGGGAACGAATTCTTTTTTTACTATGCAATGCTTTCATCATAATTCATTTATTAAAATACCATGAAAAAAATAAATGTAAAGTTTTAAGGGTTATAGTAAGATTGTAATTTCTTAGTACAGTTAAATACTGTTAGCTCGGTTTTATAGAGCTTATAAGGTTTAGTGAACAGATTCATTTCCAAATAAGTGTTATTATAATTATTTGTTACCATTTTAATATTTATCATATATGTTAAATATTATTAGAATTTTATAGTATTTATTCTTTTAATATATTCTTAGTATATTCTTCTTTATTATGCTTTCCTTAGTGTTCTATTGTGTTGCCTTTATATAGGCATGGTTGTGCTAGCATTAGAGTTATACAAATAAAGATACAACCTTAATAATTTCTATCATAGTTTTGGAGCTAACAAAAACTAGAAAAGATCTCCTCAAAATATACTTTATGAGAGATAGATCCTTGAAACACATCATTGGGAAAATGATAATACTCAACTTGACACACGATCTTATCAAAGGGAGTATGGTGAAGGAAAGCAACGCCTGAAGATATTGTATCTTCTTTGATAACAAGATGTGAACCCACCCACGTCCCGTCGACTAGCTCACAATCTTGAAGTTATTCTTGGGGTTTTGGCATCGTATTATGGTGGATCAAAAGTTGGAGGATTATGAGGAATCCATGATGAACAGATTAGTGGATGCAGGAGGATAACTTTTTGAGGCCTTTACCCATGTTGCTCTTGATCCTACTCGTGTTTTGTTGTGTTTATTTTCAAGAATTCCTTATTCTATTGAAATCAATGAATTATGCTACAGTGCTTTCTTTTTGAGAATTATAATATGATTTTTTTTGTCGGTGTAAATAGGATCCAATCGATGCAGAGGAATTCTATGCTGAATGATATTTTTTTTTTGGATATGCAAATCTTTCTTCTTTTTAGATATCATTCCTTGCTCAAATATGAGACTTGAATTTTAGGAATTTATCTCCTCTTACAAAAGTTTAAAGCCATTCTTTTTTGGCAGCTTCTTTCTCTTTTATTTCTTTATCCCTCCTACAGTTTTCATTATTTGTTGAAAGTGAGAATGTATTTAGACAAATTTGCTATTATATTGATTTCCTTTGGTTGTGTAACTTCAATTGTGTGCATAGATTTTGTTATTTTTGTATTTATGTTATAATAAGACCATGCGTCTGATGGGGACATCAGAGCTTGGAAAGTCTATCAGAGACGTGGCCGTCGATCTACAGTCACGATTGAGTCGATGTACTTCTGAGTCGTATTATGTATTTTCTTTATTATTTTATGTTGTATTTGTTTTATTAGTGTTTTCCGCTTTTACCCCTTAAGGGAGGTCGTATTTAAGCCCAGAGGGCATCGTCGTCTTTTTATTTCCTTGAGTCATTTGTACGAGGCTATATATAGCCCTCTTGTTCTCTTTTCATGTTAATGATTGAATGATAAAAATTTTGCCCCATGTTTGAGTTCTTATGAGAGCTTGAGAAAGATTGGAGCGAGGTTCCTTGGATAGGGAATTTGGATCACCAACCAACCTTGGAGACGGCTGGGTTCGTGGTTCTTCTTCTTTATCGAATTTTCCTTTTCTCTTCTTCATCTAGCCGCCGGCCTAAGGTCTCGCCCAATCCCTAGGCCGCCGGCCACCTAATCTCCCCACCTACCCGTCGGCTTCACCACACCACCACCCCTCAACCGAAATCCCCATAAGCCTCTAACCTAGCCGTCAGCCCCTCCCACCTCTCCCATCTTTCCTCCACAAATTCAAATCCCTCTTGAATACTTTCCATAAGCAACCACTCTTAATTTAGGAAGGTTTAAATTCAAAATTCAAAATTATTTGAATTTGAAATTCTTTCCTAATTTAGGAAAGTTCCTAAATTAAATCCTAGAATTTCAAATTAATTGGGATTTAATTAAAACTTTCCTAATCTCTAAATCCCAAATTAGCAACCCAAATCACTCCTCACAATCACCTCCTAGACCATTAATGCCGCCGTCCCCCCTATAGGATTGAATTAGAAATTCTTTCCTAAAGCCCACCTCCCTCCCTTGGAAATAATTCAAACTCCTTCCCCACCTCCTTGGCTGAAATGCCCCATGTCCCTACCTATTTAATTTCTTTCCAAAAATCCTCCCTCTTCTTTGGAAACAAATTAACTCCCCTTCCCCCTCTCTTGCCGCCGCCCCCTCCCTCTTGTTTTCTCCTTTAATTATTCTCAATCAAGGATTAATTAAGGAGATGTTTGACATGCTTCCCTCCTCAAAAATATGAAACAAGTTTAATTCCCCTCCCTCCTTCATTGGCCGGCCACCCCCCCTCCTCTCCACTTCAATTTTGAGAGAAACTTCTTTCTCTCTAGCGGAGCTTCAAAGGATTGACATTGATCTTCGGCTACACATCATCCTTCTAAAGCCAATTAATGGCCGATCCGGATCTTAACTACGGATTTGCTTACGACAAGCAAGGATATGTTCCATCGAAGAGTATGTGGACCGCATTATTTTCACGCTATCGAAGGCCATCGACGAGCAACTTGCCGGCACTCAGTGGTAAATCATCGCCGAACCTTCCCAAGGGTGAACTTCTTCTCCTTTTCATTTACTTTCGTACTCCCCTAATCTTGTAAGTGGTGACAAGTCATAAGGAGCCGCATTTTGCCTTTTGCTTAAGCTTAGTAAACGTAGGATTGAGTGTGTTTTCTATGTTACTATCTTATTGTTATATTAGAGATTTTTGTTGAAAACTACTTCATTCGTATGTTGTTGAATTTCGCTATTGTTTTGATAATTCAAGCACTTATTATGTAACTTGGCCTAAATGATGTGACCGCTCTTACGTTTTCTCTTTTCATTTTAACTAGCTAATAGTCGTAATTGTTCTTGTTCTTTTCAAAATCGTGCAAGTTCTTAACGCATTCATTTAAAGCATTGTAGTCCTGCATCAGTGTCTTTTTTTGAATTGGATTCTCTCTTTCCCTTTTTTCATTGAAGGTAAGTATATGGTTGTGTTGAATTAATAATTGTGTTACTTGAATTTATTATGCTTGTTTTGTTGTTTTCTACTTCACATATTCAATTTGTATTAGAAATCTTAGACCCTAATCATCCTATATGGTATGTCTACTAGGTGACAGAAGGTCCTTCAAAATTCAGATATATTTTCAAATTCTTGGGATAAATTTGAATAATATTGAGTTGTACGGAAACATTTTAAGGCTGTCAAATTTGCTAATCCCCATACTTTCATGTTGCTTGACCTTTCATTTATTTCAAGAATTTTTGCTGTTGTAATTCATGGCCATGCTCGAAAAAAAACGTTATGCTTATGTACTAAGAAGCTGATTAACACTTTTATCCAACCTTATACCTCTTGCTTGCTCCTCTCCCTTTCAAAAATTGTTCGTTTCTTCTCTTCCCCTAATTTATGTCATTCCAGCTGCTTCTCGGTCACTTTTGATTGTTCTTTGTTATTCATCCCATGCTTTCTATTGCAGATCATTTTTCTCTCTGATTTTGCTTATGCAATATCTCAAAAATGTTTTGGGTGTTCAGAACAATTTCAAAAAAGGAACATGTTTCATCTGTGTAGAATTATGCATATATTGCTTCTCTTTTATAAGTCTGATTTGTTTTCTAGTTCATTTCTTTGCCAAGTATCCCTGCTTATTTAGTGCAGTAGCGCTTGTTTGGAATTTTATTTTATATTTGCATCTTTGTAGGTCAGAGATGCGTACTTAAGATGGATCATCATTGCGTATGGGTTGTCAACTGTGTTGGTGCACGCAACTATAAATTCTTTCTTCTATTTCTGGTACAACAGAATTCTTTGTTTTCTGTTCATTATAGTTCTATACCAAGTTGGAAAGCTTCGTTAATGCTGCCATACGGTTCTATTTTTTCATAAATGACATTTTAAACCTCAGCATACTCGGTGGACATAAAATAGATTTCTAGTAGGGGTGTCAATTTCGGGTCACGGGTCGGGTTCGGGTCAAACCCGAAATTGACCCGGCAATGTTCGGGATGGCTGACGCGGGGCGACGCGGGGAGGGGCTGACGCGGGATTGCTCCGGGTCAAATCGGGTCATTCCCGGGTTTCCGGGTCAACCCTAACCCGACCCGATTTTGCAAACGGGTCAATTTTTCGGACCCGAACCCGACCCGTTTCGGATTCGGGTCAACCCTAACCCGAAATTTTCGGGTCGGGTTCGGGTCGGGTTTTCGGGTCGGGTCGATTATTGACAGCTCTGATTTCTAGCAAAGTCTTCCTCATTTTATTATTGGAATGAAATCATTGGTCCAACTTATTTTAACTGGAACCAAAAAAAGTTATCTTCACACATATCTTGCAGTGAAACAGGAAAAAAAATAAGGAGAAGATTAGAAAAAAATAAATTTATAGTTAAGGTAGCAAAACTATTCTCCTAGGTGTAAGAGAAGGAACTATATACTATGAAAAGAAGCTATATTTTAAGTAAAATTGGTAATTTTGCGTTCTTGTAACTTCTAAATTCTAATGCTAAATCAACTTTTGGTTTTCAAAATACTCCATCTTGAGCTTAGCGACATCTTTTTGGCATACTCTGTGCTCTGTTTTTCATCTTTTGCAAGCATTTGGTGTCCTGGTACACCCTTTGAAAGAAAAAAAAAAAGACTGGTTATTTCTTAGGAATCTGGATATGAAATTTTGTGTTAGATATGATATTATTTTCAGTAGAGGAAGTAGTTAATTCCAGAAATAATTATTTTCGCTAAAGATTTGGATTATTTTTCCTGGCAAAAATATATATGTAGAACAATTAGGCCAGTATCACATGTCTTTTCTTCTTGGTCGTAAGACTGGTAGCGTTGTCTGTATTCTTTGAACCAAGTTCAGTAATCCTGTCTATATTCACTATGGTCACTTGAGTTAGACATGCCAATTAAATTTGCATTTTGCATGTTACTTCGAAGCATATAGGTTTTTTGATGTGAAACAACATGCGATGATAACAAGAACTGTTTGGGGATTTTAATATAAGATTGTTAAAGCTTTGCAAGTTATAAAATTAATGCTTACCCACATTAAGTTCTCGGAATTATCAAGTCGAAATTAAGTAAGGCATGAGGTTACATCTAGATTAATGGGACAATATCAAATTGACGACATAGAATTTGATAGTAACGTTATGGAGAGAAACAATAATCCACAATTAACAAATAGAACTTCTCACCTTGGGTCTCTCACTCACTCTCTTGTTGGTGGCACTTTTGATGGGGAAAGATTGAGAGCAACCAAGTGATGCCACTAGAAGACAATGGCGCACAAAGTATAGTCCGTTGGAGTGGTAGTTGGTGGCGGGTAGTCCATGGGATGACTAGTTAGCATCCAACGTCTTATCCGTTCTTCCTTGATCATCGATGACGAAGCCGTGGTAGATGGGGAGGAGAGAGAAGGAAGGTGGCGGGTTGGAGGAGGATGGTGGGGTGGGTTTGAGCACTTGAGAAGTTTAGTAGAGAAAGGCAATATATGACCAAAGGGAAGCTCGGTATGGGAGATTAGCTTCAGGAAAACGTTTCAGGTTTCTGAAATTGAGGTAGGGAGGAAACGTGGAGAGGGGAAATTGAGTTGAAAATCAAAACAATTCCAAAGGAGGCGGGGCAGCAGTTTTGTGATGGAGTAAAGGAGTTTAATGTGAAATAATGATTGTAATTGGAGAGAGAGAGAGGGGGCATTAAGGGGCCGGCTGGATTAGAGGAGAAAAAAAAAGGGAGTTAAGTAAAGTGGGGCCCATGTATTTGAATGACAGATTTGATTAAAATCTGTAATAAAACATATTTTATAAAAAGGAAACTTCCCTTTTAATTGAGAGGGGAAATCCGGCACTATTTGAATTTCAAATATGCTTTAAATGTCATTAAATGTATTGCTTAAACAGAGGTTATTAATTAGGCAATAACTTAATCACAGGAATTTTGAAATTCCACTGGACGTGGATCAATGGGGGAATCCGGAGCAAGGGAGAATGCCAGGGAACGGGTGGGTGAGTTTCACGGCAATGGGAAATAACGGGCAAGGGAGAATGCCAGGGAATGGTGGGTTGAGGTTCATGGCTTGGCTGCCAGACGGGAGGGTTGGTGTCGGCAGAAGGGCCAGCTGCTGGGAAGAGTGCAGGGCGGCGGCCAAAGGCCTGGAGGGCCAATGAAGCCGGCGGCAGGAAGGATCTTAGGGCTAGGTGGCAGCCGCTGCAAGGGGAAGAAAAGAGGGAAAATTCAAGGGATTCGAGCGACTAAGAATTACTAACCTCAAATATCTTCCACCCGGATTTCCACACAAATAACTTCGGCGAACTTTAGAACTCACAAAGAGATCTAGCTCTTCTCAAAACTCACTAAGAGATTTGAGAGAGAGGATGCACTCACAGAGAGAACATAAGAGGCAAATTTTCATTCATTCAAAAACCACCCTATTACATGAGAAAGGGCCATATAAATAGGCCTCAAAATGACAAGAAAGCAAACGACTAAAATGCCCCTCGGGCTACAATAACGACCAAATACCCCTAAGGGCAAAAACGGGAAAACATATAAAACAAATAAACTACTACATAAAATGATGAAAATAAAGATCATGATCGTAGTCGTCGATCTCCGACATCTCCTGATGATACATGTGTCGCAATCTCTGACGATGTCCTCATCATTTTTCCAATTTGTATTTTCTCTACAAGGCTTGGTGATAAAACTCAAGAGGATATGAGAACATCGTACGACTTTGAAAAACTTCAAACGTTTTGGAATCTTTTATTGAGGAACATTCGTGTTGCAGAAATTTCTAGCAGCTATTAGGAACCCAAATACCTCTAAAAATTGCTGCAGAAATTCAAAACATAATATAAAAAGCCCCATCCCACAATAATCTCCCTCTTAAGCAGCTCAAATCCCCTAATAAATGCCCCTTACATCTAATAAATACCTCTTACATCTTTACCAAAGGACCAAAGAGTCCTCTTTTTCCCAAAGAGTTTCTTCACAAAGCCTCTTCTCCTATAGGTGATAAAAGAGATCCTAGGCCCCACCTGGGCAGCTGGATTGCTTCTGCCAGCTGCATCACATTAACATGCAAATGTTAGTTTGGTAAAAATGTTTGTTAGTAGTTTTAAGTATTCTTTCAGTTGAATGCATTATTTTCTTACAAGTGACACATGCTATGTACATAGGATTTTGGTTGAAATTTACAAAAGTAGTGTGGTTAGCTGCTTGTTGCTAAGCACCATCCTGTTGGGTGAACTTTCCTGAGTTAATTGTTATCTTTTCAGTTTTATACTTTCCTTGAGACAATCTTGGATTCTCTTGCACTTCTTCCACATTTTATAAAATTCTTTGGAGATGCTCGTAACCATTCTGGCTCACCTGGAAATCTTGCTGTCACCTTTCTTTCTTTTGGTAAGCCTGGTTGAAGCTATGGGTCAAATTTCTGCAACGACGCTGTTCTCATAAGCTCTTCATTCTTTATGCAGTGCTTAATGTGGCCTTCGCACTGAGTCTACTTTGTTTTGTGGTTATGCACACATCTCTGGTATTAAGCAATACCACCACTATA